ATCAGGTGACCGTAGGTGGATGGATTTGTTAATATTTTTGTATAAGTCCTTTAAGATATTTCTCTCTATATATTTGGTTGACCCATATGAAACTGACATTTTTTAAGGTAAAAAATGGTCAAATATTTGTAATCCATATGGTTCAACCTGATAGATTTTGATATATGTCAACAGATACTGTGTCATGCATACTGTCTAGCATGTTGCTTTTTTTTTTAACTTAATGACATATATGAACATCTTCCCATGACAACAGATGTAGTCGTGTAACATCATTTTATTGATTTGATAATCCTTTATTTAACCAATCTCCTCTTGTGGAATAGTTAAACCATTTTTAATTTGTTACTATCTTAAGCAAAACTTCAATGAATATTTTTGGACATATTTCTTAAGGCACATACCTAATTATTTCTTTGGTAATAAATCCCAAAAAGTAAGGACAATTTTTGAGAATTTTTCCAAACTCTTTTCCAGAAAGATTATACCCATTTATACTCCCAGCACTGCTGTCTTGCTAACACTGGATATTATCATTCTTTTAAATCTTTGCTACCTTGATTGATGAAAAGTAGAATCTCACTGTTTTAAACTGCATTTATTTAATTACTAGTGAGATTAACATTTTTTTAATTGTGATGAAAATATACACAACAAAACACAGAGCAATTCAATAATGTCTACATGTATAACTCAGTGACACTGCTTACATTCTTCAAGTTGTGCAACCATTCTCGCTATTCTTTTCCAAATTATTCTACCACCATTAACATATATTCAATGCACCCTAAACAAAACACCCTCTTTCCCCCTCCCTCTCACCCCTGGTAACCACTAATAACTTTTGCTTATTTCAGTAAGTGAGATCATACAGTATGGTCCTTTCGTGACTGACTTATTTCGCTCACCATGTTTTCTAGGTTCATTCATGTAGCATGCATCAAGACTTCATTCCTCTTTATGGTTCAATGGAGTAATATTCCACTGTATGTATATACAACATTTTGTTTATCCATTCATCAGTTGGTGGACAATTCAATTGCTTCCACCTTTTGGCAATTATGAATACTGCTGCAGTGAACACTGGTGTGCTTTCAGGTCTTTTGGGCATATACCCAAGAGTGGAATTGTTGGGTCATATGGTAGTTCTAAGGGTACAGTGGTTAAGTGCTCAGCTGCTAAATTAAAGGGTTTGTGGTTTGAGCCCACCAGCCACTCCACAGGAGAAAAATGTGGCAGTCTGCTTCCACAAAGATTACAGCCTTTGAAACCCTATTGGGGCAGTTCTACTCTGTCCTATAGGGTTGCTATGAGTCAGAACTGACTCAATGGCCAACGGCTTTATGGTAGTTCTACGTTCAACTTTTTGAGGAACCACCAAACAGTTTTCCACAGCGGCTATACCGTTTTACATTTCTACCACAATGGACGAGGGTTCCTGTTTCTCCACAACCTCACCAACACCTATCGTTTTCCATTTTTTTTGATCACTGCCATTCTGCAGTGTAATGGACTGCTTTTGCGTGGTCTTTCTCACCATGGTCTTGTAACTCCCACCCAGATGATTGGACAGGACTGAGCAGATAGGGTAATTGTAGCCCACCAAGGGGATTGGTCAGTTTGGCCATTCCGATGGGTATGAAATGAGCTACCCCAGAGGCAGGAGGGGGAGAGAATCCCACCACCACCATGGAAGAACAGCCAGGAGCCAGCATGTCCTTTGGATCTGGGATCGCTCTGCCGAGAAGCTCCTGGAACCAGGAGACAGACAGAGAAACAGATGTAACACTGAAGGCAGTGAGACCTGGCAGCGGAGATCCGGCAGCAGAAGTCAGCCCGGTGGGCCTGCTGGCCCATGGAGAGAGAAAACTGAGTGCCTTTGGGTAGAGGCCTAGTGCCAGGAAGAGGCGTGCCTGTGAGCATGGATGGAAGAGGCTATCCTGATGGAAAAACTGTGTTTTGAGTGCTCCTGAGCCTGAATTGTAACTGTTACATCCCTAATAAACCCCATAATCATATGGTTTGTGAATTCTGTGTGGCCATTGCAATGAGTTATCGAACCCAGTAGAGAAGTAGCCTTGCAATCAGCCTTGGGCTGTTCATCTTGATTCTCCTTCCCTCCTGTAAAGCTAGAGGAGGTCAGACACCATCTCCATGCCACTTTTACACATTCAAACAAGGGTGAGTTGGTATCTCATTGTGGCTTTGATTTGCATCTCCCTAATGGAATCTTTAGGATTGCTATATTTGTCTTTTTGTTGCTAAGGTGTAGAAGTATTTTATATATTTTGGATATTAGATCCTTATCAGATATATGGTTCTCCAATTTTTTCTCCCAATCTGTAGGTTGTCTTTTCATTATTTTGATAAAGTCCTTTGATGAACTAAAGTATTTAATTTTATGAGGTCTCATTTATCTACTTTGTCTTTTGCTGCTTGTGCTTTCATTGACATATCTGATATCCCATCATTAAAAACTTGCTTCACTCCTACATTTTCTTTTAACAATTTTATGGTTTCAGTTTTCACAATTACGCCCTTGATTCATTTTGAATTGTTTTTTGTGCATGGCATGAGGGTTGGATCCTGATTCACTCTTCTGCATGTGGACATCCAATCTTCCCAGCATCAGTTACTGAAGAGACTCTTCTATCCCCAATGGATGGACTTGGCATCATTGTCAAAAATCAGTTGACCATAGATGTATAGATTTATTTTCTGAACTCCCAATTATATTCCATTGGTCTATATGTCTATTATCATACCAGTACCAGGCTGTTTCAATTACTGTGGCTTTAAAGTATGTTTTGAAATCAGCAAGTGTGAGTCCTCCTACTTTATTCTTCAAGATTGCTTTAGCTAGTTAGGGTCCCTTGCCTTTGCATATAACTTTGAGGATTCGCTTTTCCATCTCTGTCAGGAAGGCTGATGGAATTTTGATAGGGATTGCACTGAATTTGGAGATTAACATTTTTAAACACATTTATTGAATATTTCTATTTCTTCTTCTGTGAATTGACTTAGCCCATTTGTCTACTGGTATGTTCATCATTTTCTTGTTTTAGAAAGGATCTGTGTATATTAAGGATATAACTCTGTCATATATGCAGCAAATATTTTTTTCAACTTGTTTCTAAAACAATTTTTAAAATATAATTCAAAGATGTACAGCCTAAGGCAAAGGAAGCTGCATATCTACTGGTTAGCTTGCAAGACTTTGACAGAACATTCCACCACTCAATGCCTTAGGAGCTGCAACCTACCACTGTCTGCTTCCTGGCCTGCATGCCCTCCTCATAGGATCCAGGGAAGTGGCTAACTTAACTTAGCTAACTCAATATTGGTACACTTTACATCACTGATTTTATAATATCTTCAAGTTCTCCATTCAAGAAATAAATAAATATAAAACTCCCTCAAAAAAAGCTTTTTAGTAATTTTAAGGAGCAACTTTAACTATAACAGGAAGGGATAGTTTCATCTCTAAGAAATTCTTAGTGATCCCTACCTGTACGTAAGGAGAGCTCACTATGCCTGCAGAGCGAGTTTAGCAATTCCTGCTGGCCAGGTTAAAAAATATGTAAATAAAAGTTACTAAATAATGTAATGCATATGAAAAATGATAAACTATAAATTTCAGATAAATAAGTGAGCATACAGAAAGATTAGTGTTTTTAACGTGATTTTTTTAAAAAGTCGAAGATATTACATACGTACAAATGAACAGATAAATGACAGAAATTATGTTATAGAAGCTTTCATGAAACTGAATTTAAACTTCGGTAGTTAAAGCTTCTACTTTAATGATATCTTAATATGTTTTTTCTTTTACAAAGGAAACAATATTGCTAATATTATAAATGAACAGTCATTTCACAAATGATTGCAATTTAATCTTGGCATCTTAATATGATTTTTCTCGTACTGTGATGGTTAAGGTTGTGTGTCCACTTGGCTGGGCCATGATTCTCAGTAATTTGGCAGTTATGTAGTGATGTAGTTATCCTCCATTTTGTGATACAGTGTAATTACTTTCATGATGTGATCCGATGTGATCAGCCAATCAGTTGTAAGGGGAGTTTCCTCACTGGTGTGGCTTGCATCCAATATATTGGACGTTCTGGCAAAGCTGGCTGGCTTTTGCTTGCTCTGGATCTTGCATCCGGCTCGTCATCATCTGACCTCTGGTTCTTGGGACTTGAGCCAGTGGCCTGCCATTCTGCCTGCTGATGTTGGGATTCATGGGCCTCCGCAGCCCATGAGCCAGCTGACTGCTGTCCGACCTGCTAATCTTGGGTTCATCAGCCCCTGCAGCTATGTGAGTCAGGAGAAGCCTCCAGCCTGATGCCTAACCCACAGACTTGGGACTTGCCAGCCTCTACAACTGTGTGAGCCATTTCCTTTAGATAAATATATATAAATATATGCTTCACTGGTTTTGCTTCTCTACAGAACCCAGCCTAAGGCATTTGGTACCAAGAGTGGTTCTAGAGAAACAAAACTGTAAGGATGAGTTTTCTAAATTGGTTCTCAAGTCTGGTTAGTGTTAAAGATGTTGATGTCTCTGCATGCAGTAGAAAAGAGGGCACTGCTAATCCATAGCATGAGATGGCAATACAAATACACAAAATATCACCACCAATAGATCAAGTACTGTTGAGAAGCGAGGCTCTGGGTGATAGCATGTTTGATACTTTTCTATGATTTTGTCAGAATGAGAAGTAGAATAAAGCTGGTTGGATGGTCCTACTTTTGCTAGACAAAGTGGTGAAAGAAAGAGATAAAAGCAGAGAGAAGTGAGCAGAGAGAGAGGGACATCCTACCACAAAGAAAGAAGAGCCGGGAGCAAAGCGCATCCTTTGAACCTGGGGTCCCTGTGCTGAGAAACTCCTAGACTCAGGGGAAGACTGATGACAAGGACCTTCCCTCAGAGCCGACAGAGAGAGAAAGGCTTCCCATGGGGCTGGTGCACTGAATTCGGACTTCTAGCCTCCTAAACTGTGAGGGGATAAATTTCTGCCTGTCAAAGCCATTCACTTGTGGCATTTCTGTTATGGCAGCACTACATAATCAAGACACATACAGAAAATACAATCTTTTCTTTTTTTTTTCTATTTCTTAAATTGTTGTAAAAATATAACACATTTGCCAATTCAACATTTTTCAGGTGTACAATTTAGTGAAATCAATTACATTAATCATGTTATACAACCATTAACTATCGTTGACAACTTTCCCATCGCCATAAACATAAACCCACTGCTTCCTAAACAATAGCTTCCCCTTTCTCTCTCCCTCCTGCTCCTGGTAACCACTAATAAACATTGGTTTCTATACATTTCGTATTCTTGTTATTTCATATACGTCAGATCATACAATATTTGTCCTTTTGTGATTGACTTATTTCACTCAGCATAATGTTCTCAAGGTTCATCTATTTTGTAGCATGCATCAGGACTTCATTTTTCTTTATGGCTGAGTAATATTCCATTGTATGTATGTACCACATTGTTTACCCATTCAGCTGCTGATGGACATTTAGGTTGTTTCCACCTTTTGGCTACTGTGAATAATGCTGCAGTGAACACTGGTGTACATCTGTCTGTTTCCCTGCTTTAATGTCTCTTTGGTATACACCTAGGAGTGGAATTGTTGGGTTATATGGTAGTTCTACATTTAACTGTCTGAGGAACTGCCAAACTGCTTTTCATAGTGGTTGTACCATTTTGCATTCCCACCAGCAATGGATAAGGGTTCCAATTTCTCCACATCCTCACTAATATTTGTTATTTTCCTTTTTTTAATCCTAGCCATCCTTGTGGGAGTGAAGTATATCTCATTATGGTTTTGGTTTGCATTTTCCTAATGACTAATGAAGTTAAGCATCTTTTCATGTGCTTGTTGGATATGTGAATATCCTCCTTGGTGAGACGTCTGTTCAAGTGCTTTGCCCATTTGTTGATTGGGCTGTTTATTTTTTTGTTGTTAAGTGGTAGAAGTTTTATATATATTTTGGATATCAGACCCTTATCACAATTATCATTCCCGAAAATTTTCTCTAATCTTTATTTTAAAAGATTACACTGTAGTCATATTTGTATTTGTAAAATAGCTATTCATTATACAGTATTAGGAAGAAAGTTTTGTATGTATGAGAAAAATCAGATTAAGATATCACTACCTTCTGTTTATGGGAGACTGAGCAATAGAAATGGTTGACTCAGTGTAAAACTTTAGGATTTAATCTTACCATGGAGTTGTATTCTAAGATGCTTAAACCATCTTCATGTACAGCCAGCCACATGAAAGTAGTTCCAAGGGATGATGGAGTTATGGGCTATGAAGAGGTAAAAGTACACTATATTATATATGCTAAGCAAATTTACAGAAATATTTTTCAATCTAAATGCCATACAACATTTGCCATTAAACAACAACAAAAGCTTATTAAAAATCTCTCTTGGGGAGGAGATAGTGTGGTATACTGATTAGAGCAGTGAATCTGATATTAGGATACCTGGGTTTGAAACTCAAACTTGCCATTTACTAATGTGTTCATTTGGACAAGCTACTTAATTTCTTTGAAACTCAATTTCCTCATCTTTAACATGGAAGCAATAATGTTTATATCTTACTTTTCTTTTGTTTCAAGAGGCTAATAGTTAACAGAGCTCTTAGGGTTTCTGTGATGATCAAAATTCTAATAATACAAATTATATTGATATGCTTTATAAGGTGTATAGTACTATTACAATGGAAAGAAATATTATTATAATTGCAGACTTTTTCTGAAAAAGATTATTAATCTGATATTCAGTGCCTAACATTAGAAAATAAAAAGGAAATATGAAACTGTGTGATCAACACTAATCTGAAATTCTAAAATTTCCACTAATTTTTCTTACTGCAAAAAGCAATGAAATTATATTCATAAAAAGAATCTTCCACCACTAAAACACATGAACGTTTTTTAGTATTCCACAATGACTGTTTTGTTCAGTTAACAACTGAAATTCTAAGAAAAAACTTAAGCACTTCTCTTAAATCTTAAAAAAGAATGTCAAGACTATATAAGGAACTGGGATGCATCTTGTGTTACTCGTATGTAGTAAAAGTTTTCAGAATCTCAGGTATAAAAAACACAGGGTTATCACATGGTCCATGAGGGCTGGTTGCAAAAGACTGTTGTTGGGTGCCATCAAATGGATTTCAACTCTTAATGACTCCATGTGACAGAGTAGAACTGCCCCACAGTGTTTCCTAGGCTGTAATCTTCATGGAAGCAGACTGCCAGGTCTTTCTCCCACAGAGCCTCTGGGTAGGTTTGAACTGCCAACCTTTCAGTAGGCAGCTGAGCTCTTAACTGCTGTGCCACCAGGTCACCTTTTGCAAAAGACAGGCAGCATTAAAAAGGATGCCATTAAACAAACAAAGGAGGTGCTTCCCTGTTATAAAAAAAAAAAAAAAAGCACGCAAAGAAAGATGTCATTCATGTAACAGGCAATGCACTGTCATTATTTAATAACACTATTTTTGTGCTGGCAAACAAAGAACATATTACCGGAGCAGAGAAGATATTTAATATCCCTTCCAACGCTGAAATTAGAATTAAAATACATTGTGAAAGGCTATCTACAGCTCAAATCTATTTCTTATATATTTTAAAATGTATATTCAATTACCTGCAAATATATTATCTAATTTTATAAGTATACTGACTTCAATACCTGTTAACTTACTTAGTACACAGCTTCCAGTTCTAGCAGCAGAATAATTTCTTACCTAAGAATAATATAGTCGCTCACAGAATAACAGTTAGAAGATACTTAATAGTTTACTTTTCTAGTCCAAGTTGTTAATTTATAGGTGAGGAAACTGAGGCCCAGAAAGGTTAGCCAACTTGCCCAAAGTTGCACAGCTATTTAGTAAATATTTATTGAGCGATAACGATATACAAAGCATTATGGTGGGCACCGAGGAGGATCTTAGGATCAGTAAGTCCATATCCTCATGGAGTATACAACTTATTAGTAAGGATAAAACAAGCACATACACAAACATAACACAAGACAGAATATATCTTAAGAGCCTGAGAGAGTACAAGATGACATGGTTCAACAGAAAGAAGAGGAATTAAGAAGTACAGATTTTTCCTCAGGGAGAGGGCTAGCCACCCCCTGGCAGGGTTAGCCTCCCCTTCCTCGGTGTTTCTGTGGCACTCTGTTCATATCACTCTTACACTATTCACCATCGTCCGGCTTGGTCACAGGCCTGCTGCAGAACTGAACTGTGAGTTCCTGGAAGTTCAGACACAACTCATTTGAAACTATGGGCTTATCTACCCCTAAGGCTTAGCTGAGTGCTTGCAAACAGAACTCAATAAATACTTACTAAATAAATGAGCAAATGAATGAGCCCTGGGTGGTGCAAATAGTTAACATGCTCGGCTGCTAGCCAAAAGGCTGGAGGTTCAAGTCCACCCAGAGGCACCTCGGAAGAAAGGCCTGGTGATTTACTTCCAAAAAATCAGCCACTGAAAACCCTATGGAGCACAGTTCTACTCAGTTACACATGGGTGGCCATGAGTCAAAATCAACCTGATGGCAACTGTCTACTGGCTAAATGAGTGAGAGTAAATGGGTTTATGAATGAATGAATGAAGAGAGGAAAGCAGAGTTCAGATGTTGTTTTCAGTCTAATGATTAGCCTTACGAATCTAAGAAATGATTCAGGGTAGGGAGAAGTTGAGCAGAAGGGAAAAGATAGAGAAGTTGATGGTTTTTCTGTACTTTTCCCAGTGCCCCTTCATTGTTTTCTTAACATTGTTGAGAATTCCTTTATTTTTTTAAAAAAGCTGAATATACTAAACTTGGGGTTGTTATCACTGCTTTAACTGACTGAACTGGATGGGGTTGGCCATATACACAAAGGTTTTCATTATGCATTCCCTCTCATTCCTTTCTTACTTTCGCAAGAAACAACTTGGCACCAAAGAATGGCCACTTCCTGGCTACTGTCAAATAAATGCGGACACAGTCAGCAGTGCTGTGTCCCCGAAGAGCCATCCATCTCGTTGACAGTCGCTGGCACAGCTGCCTAAAAAAAGAGAAAACACAAAAGCAAAAAGAGTCTCTCATCCTCCCAGGGTGAAGCTCTCCTTGAGCAATCCTAAGGCAGAGCTGTGAGCCAGTGAAGCTGTTCCCTTGTGACTCCAACCCGCCAGTGTCTACCCCTCGCTTTCTGTACAATTCCTTTAACCAAATTCTCATACTGTTAGTGCTGTCAAAATGACTTAGGGTTCCCTTACACCCAACCCCTCACCCCCACTACTCAGATAAATTTGAAAATCAAAATGAACGAGCATAAAACCTTAGTGTAAATAAGTTTAAAAGGTAATTTCTCATGGGCAAGTCTCATTTTTAAAGAAAAGGACAAAAAGTAAAACCCAGAGAATGAGTCCAGAGTGGTGGAATTTAGGTACTATTGCTTCTGGCTTGGAAAGATGTTGGGGACCGGGGAAATCTTTCAAATCAAATCACGAAGGCAACCACCCATTCTACAGACAAAAGATCTGAAATGTTTCTATTTTCGAAAATTCCTGGTGAATTGGCTTTGTCTCTGTCTTTTCATCTAACAAGCTTTTCTTTATGTACTCTCTAAAATCAAAACTCCAAACAAGTTGAGTTCAATTAAAAACTTATACAAAAAAATCTTATGTGTTAAGAAGATAGTTTATTTTTATTCCAGTTTGTTTATAATGTAATACCTAAGAGATAAAAATTGTTTGGTAAATACGCAAATAAAATTAACCATAGTACTGGCCAATTTTTTTCTTTTATTTTATTATCAGGATTAGTTTGGAAAGAATGAGTAAGATCAAATGAAAAGCAGGTCTTCTAAATTAAGGTAAAAGCTTTTTAATTTTTTTTTTTAATTGTAAATATAGATTCTAAAATTTCCAGGAATGTCTTAGAGAGAGAGACAACATAACCTCTTGGCACTCAATAGTATTAAAAAGTCTTGAGAAAATTGTCATATACAATTTTTTCTCATTTTTAAAATTTGAACATAAAAAAATCACTGGAAGACTAGCGGGACTCTACTCTCTTAAGTAGTTCCTTACCTTAACTGTTCTGCAGAACAGCCATCTCTATACCTTTTAGGATAAAATTTCTCTATGACTTGTTTTAGAGTTTGATTTGCTTTGCACTGATTAGTAACATGCCCTGCTGGAGTTGAGAAAGGTCTTTCAAAATCTCCAATCTCCACCTAATTGGAAAGCCAAAGAGAAAACATAGGATATTGAAAAGAGTTTTGGAAAAGCAAATCAGTTTTATTCTTTATAAACATTCTTTATTACATGCAATACATAAATCTATTTGTCATGATTGAGTGATTGCAAAATTTACAATTACACATAAGAACTGTTATTAAAATATAAATTCCATTTGAATTCTAATTTTGAAAAAAAAAGCTATAATTCAAACATTTCTGTTCCATTTCTACATTAACATCCCTAGATTAATCTCACCATCTAGCAGCATTTGCTAAAGGCCACTATTCTCCCCTGCTATTAGCTATAACAGCACAGGATGATTTTTAAAGTATATTTTACAGTGAAACCTGTGAGAGCTGGAACTCGACAGGACTGCCTTGTTTTTCCCGGTTTCATAAGTCTTCCAGCTTTGACAAAGTGCAGTACTACCACTTTTCTATTGCTTGTTAGAGGAGCCCTGGTGGCACAGTGTTTAAGTGCCCAGCTGCTAACCAAAAGGTATGTGGTTCAAACCCACCAGCTGCCCCACAGGAGAAAGATGTGGCAGTCTGCTTCCATAGATCTTTGGAAACCCTATGGGGCAGTTCTACCCTGTCCTCCGTCCTTAGGGTCGCTATGAGTTGGAAATGACTAGATGGCAATGAGTTTGGTTTGCTATTGCTTGTTCTAGTGGAAAACATTTGCATTTTCCTTCTCTGACAGGTTTCCTCCTTACACAGGTTCCAGCTTTCACAGATTTTACTGTGATTGCTAATAAAAAGGAGAAATAAAAGTTAAAAGACAACAAAAAGTTATAAAGCTATAAGACATTTCACAGAAGTATTAGTTATATTTTTTAAGCATCTCTACTGAATGTAATGGGAGGAAGAACTATATTCTCACTACTTCTTTCCTAGATTTTCTCCATAATGTTACTGTGTTCATCCTCTCTTTCTATTGTTCTATTATTTCTGGGAATAGAGCCCTTCATTCCCCCCCACCCCACCATGGAACAATGTTCACCTCTTATCTCTATTAATTAGGTCAAAGAGACACTATCCTCTACCCATTCTTCCAGCTACCCAACCATCCACCTCTCTATCTGCTTGCCCACTCATCCATTCATCCAAACATACACTGAGTCCCCATTATTGGTCAGGCACTGTGCTAAGTGATAGGTGAAAGGAATAAGTTAGACATAGTTCCTGCTCTCAAAGAGCTTGTTGTCTAGTAGGGAGCCTGAAATATAAACAAAAACTCAGAATAAACCGAAGTGCCTTGTATACGGCACTGAAAAGGGTTCAAGGGGCAGGATGAGGCAGAGGACATTCAGGTGAATGTCCTACAGATCATTCACATCATTATCTAAAGCACTCTACAGCAAGCAGATGGAGGGTTCCATCCAGACCGGGCAGGAATGGCCTCAGAAAGCTCCAAGTTGCCATCTCAAAAGGGTCCTCTGCCTCCAGTTAAGCTGTCAGCACAACCAGCCTCTGAGAATCTGACCTCTGTGACTCCCCTTACCTAGTTCTTAATCTTAATCTGACCAGTTACTGTCTAAATGCCTCAGTTCGGCTTTGCCTTTACATCCTATTCTTATAATTTCCTACATTCTGTCTTTAATCAAGTTTCTTACTTGTTGGCTACTTGGTTCAGCTCTCATTCCTCACTTCTCCTCATTTCTATCATTCCTTATCCCTCACCTAGCCAGCTATCCTTCCTAGATTCCTCACACCAAACAAAAGTGGGTCCCTCTGCTTTTCAATCTTACTGAAATCCTTCCGCCACAGCAAGTTCTTTATTGTCCCCAAGCATAGCAATGATTGTGAGGATGGTGCAGTACCGAGCAGTGTCTTGTTCTGTTGTACACAGGGTCGCTATGAGTTGGAACTGACTCGATGGCACCTAATAACAATCACCAGGCAGCACTGACCACAGCTACCTATCAAACCTGTGATCAGGATTTAACCTCCAAGGATATGTCAGTTAGGATCAAAAATAGTAGGCTATTCAAGGCAGTCTTGTCTCTTAGGGAACCCTATAGTGGTTTCTCCAAGCTCAGTGTCTCCCCTTCCTGGTGCCTGGCATACACTTTGGCACAGAATAGGCACCATAAATGTTTGCAGAATAACTGAAAGTCAAGTTAGTAAGTCCCAACATGCCCCACATGAACATGATGCCTGTAGTGCAATGGGTTTCCCTTCTATATGGTCTTTCTGGCCTTGGAATTTTAATTCTGTCAAAAATAATTGGTTAGGACACACTCTGCCTTGTATTTGGTCTATCTTATGCATTTTGCAGGGATTGGTCAGTTTAATATGCAAATAGAGTACATAAAACCACTTAATAAGGATTAAGTGACCTTGCAGGGATTGGTCAGTTTTTGGTATGGCTGAGAGGGCCATGCTTTAAAATATAAAGGCCAATCCCACAGAGGCTGAGGGGGTCCTCACTACTATCAAGAAGAACCTGCAGCAGAGTATGTCTTTTGGACCCAGGGTCCCTGTGCTGAGAACCTCCTAGACCCAAAACAAAGAGCTGTACACTGAAAGTAGCATAAGATGGTGAGAAACAACAGCAGGCACGGCAGAGCCCAGGAGCAGAGAAATAGCTGCTTGGGAATGAAGAGACTGGTGCAAGACAGCACGGTGGGACTGCCGGCCCATGGAGAGAGCTGAGTGCTTTTGGGCAGGAAGCTTGCTGTTGGAACTAAAGCACTGTAACACTTGCCCAAGTAGGGCAGAGGCCAACAGAAGGGTCAGTGGCTAGCATGGATGAGAAGGAGCTGAGAGTTGTCTTGGTGGGAAGCTGTCCTAACTGATTAAGAGTTGATCCTGTCTCCTGAGTCATATCCTGTTACTTCCAAGTTGATCCCGGTCCTGAGTTGAAACCTGTTACCTCCTAATAAACCACATAACCTTGAGCATGGTCTGTGAGTTTTGTGTGGTCATTGCAATGAATTACTGAACCCAGTAGAGAAGTGAAGAGTGCCAGGGAAGGGATGGCTGGTGTCAGAAATAGTGAAAAAGTTTGGGAGTGGAGGTATATCTGACCTCCACCTTATAGGAACCAACTTTGTGCTGATCTTGATTCTCATCCCTCCTCCTGAATATGGACAGGCCCTGATACTAGATTATAATGCCTTACCAGACACTATGCCCAAAATTGATGATCAGCTCCAAGAGTTATCTAATTAAGATAGAAAATATCAACACGGATCTGTTATTGTCTGGCAAGTCAGACCCAACTCACAGCAACCCTAAGAACAATGGAATGAAACGCTGCCTGGTCCTGAGGTGTCCCCCTGATCAACCAGTTGCGAATTGGACCATTGTGATCCTTAGGGTATGAATGGCTAATTTTCAGAAGTAGATCGCCAGATCTTTCTTCCTAGTCTGTCTTAGATTGGAAGCTCAGCTGAAGCCTGTTTAGCATAAGAGCAACATGCAAGCCTCCATTGACAGGCAGGTGGTAAGACCTACAGATACTCAATCTACAACAAAAACAACTTTTCTTCTACAGAGTTCAGATTTCTTTAACATAGATCATTTATCTTCACAAAAACTATTATGATGTAAAGAGGTCAGAGGCATTATTTAATTTTCCTTTTATAGTTAGTAATGTGCTCAGAATTTTCTAGGTGTATGGCCTTATCTTTCTACCGCTTCCTCAAATTCATCTAAAAAAATGTTAGAAGTACATATATCCAAAGTATGTTCTAATTTTTTCTGGAGAAGCTTTCTTGATTAAATTAAAAGTTAAAGTAAGAAGACTAAGTTAAATTTCAGTAAAAATGAGAGAGATTTTAACAGCCAAACTACAGCATTAGAGGACCAAAGCTATAGAATCATTCCTAATTATGTCACCAAGAAAACTGTTACCTTATTTCTCTTTTCCTCAGTTTTTATCACTTATAAAGAGAAAACATTCAGTATAGCATTATTGCTTTAAAGTTTGGATGATCATAAGATTACTTAAAAGTACACTAAATTATTAACTATTCAGTCATTCAAAAACATTTATGGAGAATGAACTAAGTGTAAGACACTATGCTAGATACAAAGATATTTGAATAGGAACAGCCCTTGCCCTCCGGGGGGCGGGGCGCATAGTTCGTGGCACAGAGCAAAAACATAAACAGAAGCCACTAGACTCGATATGAGTAGAAATTGACTCAACGGCAGTAGGTTTGTTTTTTTTGTATCGAGGTCATGACAGGAAAAGACACATGAAGGACAATATAGAAACCCCCTGAATGGACATTTAACCTATCCAGGTAGGATCCAGGAAAGCTTCCTGGGAGGAGGGACACCTGAGATGAAAATTAAAGGATAAGCTGAAGGTAAGAGGTGAAGGGTGGGGGGTAGAGGCATTCCAGGCAGAGGAAACACATGAGTACCACAGACAAAACGTGAACCACATGTGAGTCAGGGAATTGCGCAGGGAACCACAGTTTATGCTTTATTGGAGCATAAAATCCAAAGTACTGAATACTAAGAGATGAGGCCGGAGAGGCAGGCAAAGATCAGATCATCAATATTCTCCTTTGTAAACGAGGGGCTGAAATAGCTAGATTTACATTTTTGCTCTACAGTAAAACCTGCAAAAGCTGGAACCTCTGCAAGGCAGAAACCTGTCAGAGAAGAAAAACTCAAATATTTTCCACTAAAATGAGTGATAGAAAAGTGTCACAGGTGGAAAACTTGGGAGACCTGGAAAAACAAGGCAGTCCCTTCGAGTTCCAAGCTCTCACAGGTTTTACTGTATCTCCATTCTAGTTACTATTGCTGCATACGGAACCACCACAGCACAAGCGACACTGTGCCAGTTTCCAGGCTCAGGCCTCAAGAAACTGACAGCTTTCACTTCCTGCCTCTCTTCTGGGATGTTGCTACTGTAAGCCAACCGCTATTCTGTGAGGAAGCACAAGCAGATATATGAAGAGACCACGTGTAGGTGTTTAGCTGACAGCCCCAACAGAGGTCCTAACTAACAGCCAGCATCAGCTGCCAGATGTGTGAGACAAGCCTTCAAATGATCCCAGCCCTCAGCCTAGTATCACAACCAGCGTTCAAGGTATACCAGCTGATGCTGTGTGAAGCAGAGGCAAGCTGTCCTGCTTGTTGCTGATGCTTTAAGCAACTGAGCTTTGGAGTCATTTGTTATGCAGCAATAGATAACAGAAACAACAGATAACTGGAACAATCCCTCTAGCATCCCTGTGGAGGAAGGAGCCTGTTGCAGGAGAGCTGGCAGGATGTGATGAAAGTCTGAACCGTAACAATGGTAGTCAAGACGGAGAGGAGTGAAACAGAGTAGAAAATACCTAAGCGTTAAAATTGGCAGGATGTGGCGACTAGTGGAAAAGGGTGAAAGGGAGGGAAGAATCAGCAACGATTCCGGATGTGAAGCTTGCATGGGGGACGGAGTGGAAGCAGAATCCCAACAAAGACACAGAATACAAAGAAAGGGGAAGGAGAATGAGGAGTTCAGTATGTTGAATATAAGGCCCATGAAAAAGTATAAACTGGCACCTGTGGTGAATAACAAAGAGGCTGAAAGAGGTCTCCTGGGAGAGCACACAGAGTGAAAAGTCACACACTGAAAATCCTGGGGAATCCAAGCCTTTGTCCAGGTGACATCTCACAGGTGCTTTAACATTTTCCCTTAATTAACCTGTGCAAAGACTCGGGTATGCCACCTACATCCATCCTCTTCTTCTTCCTAACAAACACCCTGAAGTTAGTTGGGCACATTGCCACCCGGCTAATCCCACACTCCCCAGCCTCCCTTGTAGGGAGGCGAGGCTATGTGAGACATAAATGAAAGTGTTCTATGTAACTTCAGGGAAGTTTTCTTAAAGGCCGGAGGACGCGCCCTTCTTCAGCCCTTCCTTCATCCTTATGCCTGGTACACTGACGTCATCACTGGAGCTCTTGGTAACCTCCAGGATCATGAAAATGATACCGCAGGGATAGCAGATCGGAGAGCATGAGAAAGCCCAGACCACAAATGACCTCGCAGAGCTTCCGGGATGCCTATGTCTCTATGTGAGACACAAATACACTTCTTTTTTGATTAAGTCACTATTATTTTTATTATTATTAAGGCTGAACTTAATCCTAATTGATACAATAGGTAAGTAAAAGAAAGTGCTTTAGCCTTTTTAAAGACTGATTCCTACTAGCTCATTGAACCATTTCAGCACAGCATTCTTAGCCCCACAGTACTACATGGCAAACTCCTTTATTAAATGCAAAGCCTAGTGGTGTACTTTCAAGATAATTAAGAAACTCTGTTGCTGTTATTAGGTGACATCGAGTTGGTTCTGACTCGTAGTGACCCTATGTACAACAGAACAAACCTGCCCAGTCCTACACCATCCTCACAGTTGTTGCTATGCTTGAGCCCCTCACAGCAGCTGCTGTGTCAATCCATCTCATTGAGGGTCTTCCACTCTCTTGCTGACCCTCTACTTTACCAAGCATTATGTCCTTCTCCAGGGACGGGCTCCTCCTGATAACAAGTCCAAAGTATGGGAGACAAAATCTCACCATCCTCATTTCTAAAGAGCATTCTGGCTATACTTCTTCCAAGATAGATTTATTAATTCTTCTGGCAGTCTATGGTATATTTAATATTCTTTGCCAACACCACAATTCAAAGGCATCAATTCTTCGGTCTTCCTTATTCATTGTCCAGCTTTCGTTTATTGAAATTTATTGAAAATATCATGCATCTTAGTCCTCAAAGTGACATCTTTGCTTTTTAACACTTTAAAGAGGTCTTTTGCAGCAGATTTGCCCAATGCGATACAGTCGTTTATCTCTTGACTGCTTCCATGGGCATTAATTGTGGATCCAGGTAAAATGAAATCCTTGACAACTTCAATCTTTTCTGTTTATCATGATGTTGCCTATAGGTACAGCTGTGGGGATTTTTGTTTTCTTCATGTTTAGGTGTAATCCTTACTGAAGGCTGTAGTCTTTGATCTTTATCAGTAAGTGCTTCAAGTCCTCTTTGCTTTCCGAAAGCAAGACTGTGTTATCTGCATATCACAGGTTGTCACTGAGTCTTCCTCCAATCCTGATGTCACATTCTTCTTCATATAGTTCAGCTTCTCAGATTATTTGCTCAACATACAGATTGAGTAAGTATGGTGAAAGGATACAACCCTGACACACACCTTTCCTGATTTTAAACGACGTAGTATCCCCATATTTTGTTCAAACGACTGCCTCTTGGTCTATGTACAGGATCCGCATGAGCACAATTAAGTGTTCTGGAATTCCCATTCTGTGCAATGTTATCCATAATTTGTTAGGATCCACACAGTAGAATGTCTTTGCATAGTCAATAAAACACAGGTAAACATTTTTCTGGTATTGTCTGCTTTCAGCCAAGATCCATCTGACGTCAGCAACGATATCCCTCATTCCATGTCCTCTTCTGAATCTGGTTTGAACTTCTGGTAGTTCCCTACTGATGTACTGCTGCAGACGCTTTTGAACTATCATCAGCAAAATTTTACTTGTGTGTGATATCAATGATATTGTTCAATAATTTCCGCATTCTGCTGGATCACCTTTCTTTGGAATAAGTATAAATATGGATCTCTTCCAGTCGGTTGGCCAGGTAGCTGTCTTCCAAATTTCTTGGCATAGATGAGTGATAACCTCCAATGCTGTATCTGTTTGTTAAAATATCTCAATTGGTATTCTGTCAATTCCTGGAGACGTGTTTTTCGCCAGTGTCTTCAGTGCAGCTTGGACTTCTTCCCTCAATACCACTGGTTCTTGATCATATGCTACCTCCTGAAATGGTTGAAACGAGGTTCCCTTCATAGCATATTATCTCCTTCTACATCAGTGCTAATATAATCTATGCGATTTGGAGTCAAATTGTAATTATAATGCCTATAATTGGAGTCCTGGTGGCACAGTGGTTAAGAACTGGGCTGCTAACCAAAAGGTCGGCAGTTCAAATCCACCAGCTGCTCTTTGGAAACCCTATGGGGCAGTCCTACTCTGTCCTACAAGGTCACTAGGAGTTGGAATAGACTTGCCAGTGACAGGTTTTTTGATTATATTGTTTTACTACATTTAACTCAGTGTAGAAATTAATCTTTCCCAAATAATATATTACTCTTACAACATATGTAAGTTACCTGAGCTAAAAGAGCTGCCATTTCTAATGCCAGATCCTTGTTCAGAGGAAATAGTCCATTTACTATTTGATCATTTGTCTGATACATTAACAGCAGCTTTTCTCTATCAGTCTCTCCACGAGCTTGCATTGAGAAATACAGTCTGTAAAAAAAAAAGAGGGGGAGGAGATGCTTCATGAAACAATACTCTTACAAAGGAGAAAATAAAGATATGTATGTGCCATCAATGAATATAGAGGAAATAAAGATATGAGCCATCAGTCAATGCTGGGGGTTGTTCTAACACAGTCCTCCAGGAGATATGAATTTAGACCACTACTATCCTCTCAGTGATCACTCTTTCTGTTCTCTATAACATTTCAGCAAACTGAAGAAAAACTGCATGTGAAGCTGAGGAACCCTACTGTGCTATTTTTATGCCTTGCAATACTAAACCCTTAACTTACTGAGGAAGGATCAAAGACACCGAGGGAAATTAAATGTGCCCTATAAAAACCTAATTTTCAAAGTACTCATGATCTTTCCCAAACAGCTTGAACACACCAGGGAGTAAAGAAATGAAAAAGGTTTCAATTCAAAATCAATCCAAAATCAACATTAAATAAGGGAGGTTTGCTCTGAGAATCTAAAAGATAATTATTTGCACATTTAAATGTGTTTTGACTTTCTTGCCACATTCCGATAAGCAGCTTTAGGAAGTGAAAAATACTTTATCTGTTATCGTTACGACCTGTTGTAATACGAAATGGCTTTTGTTTGCCTAGGAGGTCTTCATCGAATCAGGTACCCTCTTTATTTACTCACTGTGTCATTTATTTATATGTGAGATTCTGGGGTTCTGACTTCAGGCTGCACATCAGGCAGGGGGTGCTATAAATGCTGTGAATGCAGTGACAATGGGGTTGTAAGGGACACTCTGACATACCTGAATATTGTCATGACAACACAGTGGCTGGAAAAGAGCAATTTACATCTGCGGTTATTAAGTAAGTCAGTGGGTGGCACAAACGGTTTGCTCTCAGCTACTAGCCTAAAGGTTGGCTGTTCAAAGCCACCCAGCGGTACAGCAGAAGAAAGGCCTGGCCATATGTTTCCGTAAAGGTTACAGCCAAGAAAATCCTATGGAGCAGTTCTACTCTGAAGCACATGGGGTCACCATGAGTCGAAATCGACTCCACGGCAATAGGTTTGGTTTTGGTTTTAGTCGTTAAGTGTGCATCCAATTGACAATAACTGTGGATTTCAGCCTTTTTCTCCTACACCCTTGAGGGGGATGACACATTCCCATCAGCTACAGTACCTTTCTCAGAAATTATCTCAACTAGCAAGGAGTGAGAGGGCAGCAGTTCAGAATCTCTGGGGAAGCCTGTGGGGTATACTTTGAGAAGCTCCCCCCTCCCCATGATTCTACTCATTCTTCCTGCCCACCCCAGGTTAAGAATCACTGAACTGGGCAGTCATTTAGAGTGGTTTCCTGAAAGAAAAAAAAAAAAAAAAAAATCAATCCCAAACCCCATTTTTATCTACGACTGCATAACCACAAACAATGCAGGTTTGTAAAGCTGGTAGAACAACTCTGGGCAACATCAGCCAGCAGATGTAAAACAAAGAGAATAAAGTTTAACACGAAAGCCCTCCCTTTACAGCATGCTTACACTTACACATTTTGTACTGCATCTGTGTACGCAGTTTACTCTCTCTACTTGAAGTTAGGAGCTATACTAACTGTGATCCACAGCTAAGTGTCCACCACTGGAGGGCTCTTCATAAAAGTTTGCATTAATAATACTGGTGGGGGGGGGAGGAGGGGAGAGGAGACCCAACTGCACAAATGGCTACAGGGCAAGAAGAGCTAAAAGGCATTTTCTATCAATTCTGCCATGCCAATATGATTGAAACTGGGAAGGGAAATGGAAGCACCGTAAGCAGAAAAGGAAACAATCCTGAACACATTTTATGGGAATACAAAATGTAGAAATTATTGGCTCAAACCCCTAATGAAACAGTTCTTGCAACTATACAAGGATTTAGAGAGAATCTGGAGAAGAATTAAAGAAGAATCACAAAAATGACCACAGGGTCAGAGAATCAAAACCACAGAGCTTGAACAAGAAAGGCACCAGGGGAATGCGACAGGAGGCTCTCACAATCTGGCCTGTTTCCAGCTGCTCCCAAACCCTGAAGAGGCCAGAAGCAGAGAATGCAGGCTTCCGTACAGCAGGTAAGGCTGGGCTTAGATACCAGGAGCATCCCCAAATGCCTGGCTCCTCACCTGACACCCGGGAAGCACAATATTGTGGGATGGAAATCACGTTACTACACGGACCATTACCACTACCCAAACATTGCTTCCAAATTCAGCAGGGCCCTCAGCACTGCCTGGTAATCCTTTCTGTTTGCTCTGGATTAGCTCCACATTTCACTCCTCAGAGCGTTTATTTCCTACCATTGCCCTTCTCATCGTATTTTAAACTTACTGAAGGAGCAGCCCACCTTGGTCTCCGTTTACGTTCCCTTTACGCCTCTGTGCCACAGTCTAGTGATCACACTCCACTGAAACCACAATTGTGACCCCGCTTCTTGGCTCTCTTCCTGCCTCTCTGGCTACAACCTTCACTCATCTGCTCAGAAAGTCACCGCTCTGCAAGCTGTTCCTGACCTCCTCGATGTTCCTGCAGCATCTTGTCCATATAATGTTATATTCATAGTTAGGGCAAATATTTACTATACAGCAGGCTCTGATCTAAGCACTTTACATTTTCCAACACTTAATCCTTCAGCCAACCGTAGAGGTGGGTACTGTTTTCGCCTCCACGTCACACAGTGTATCTGAGGCCCAGAGACACTAAGGGATTGCTCAAGACCACACAGGGAGTGGCAGAGCCAGGATTCTAACCCTGGCCGCCTGCCTCCACAGCCCATGTTCTTCACTGCTCTGCTGTCCTGTCCCCGCTGTGACAGCATCAATCACAAGGAGGTGGGGGTCGGGGGGAGGAACAGTCATTTCCTTCAAGGAAGGACATTTACCAGCTTTGTTTTGTTAAAAACTTGCCTTGACCCTTACAACATCACATACACGGTAAGAAATGAAATTATATAAGCAGCTTCAATACGAATAGAATTTAAACATTGGTTTCCAAATGGTTATCTACAAGAACAACTAAGTTAAAAACCTGTTAATTAGATCTTTAACTCCTGAATCTAAATAATTAAAATTCCACAACTTCAAAAATTCCATAATAAAGAGAGTTGGTATTTTAGCTTTGCTAATTACAGTGCTACTTGACAGATAAAAAAAGTCAAGGCCTTGGCTGCACGATAGATCACAGCCAGTTCCTCCTTCAACGGTGTCACTGGTCAGGGCTCATTGTCTAAGCTGTTTATACACTTACGCAAAGCACGACCACATTTAGAAACACAGCACTTTCTCACAACTGGGGCTATCCAGCCATTTCAGATTTCTGTTAAAAATTAAACTTTCCAGTTGAGTTGCTTTTTTTCTGATGCCAAAGATACTGTCATAGGCTTTTTTGAAACAAGGTGATCTTCATCATGTATTATTCACAACTCTCTTTGTGCTTTCTGGTGGTATTTGCTAGACTTGGAGCATCATTCTTATTTGTGTTGTTCTCCATTTCATCCAAACTTAATTTCGGTACTGACCCTAGCCATCATAATCAAAATCAGTATATATCCAGTACTCATCACGTGTGGATTATCAGGAATAGTGTTAGACATGAAAGTCATTCCATTTGGCTCTATCAAAACCAGATGAGAATTCCTGGCCCTCTTCTACATAAAGATATATGGCAGGTCAGGTCCAGTAGCTGGCTCCCTCCCACAAGAGGTGAGATGAAAGACAGGGGAAGCTGAGACTAGAAAAACTAGACGGTGCCTGGCTACCATTACTGACCACTCTGATCAGGGCCACAATACATGGATCCTGATAGAAAGGGAGAAAAATGTGGAACAGAACTCAAATTCTTTAAGTCCAGACTTACTGGATCGTTTAAGACTAGAGGACTCCCAGAGACTATCGCTCTGAGATACTCCCTAAACCTTGAACTGAAACTATTCCCTGAGGTCACCTTTTAACTAAATAACCGACTGGCTCATAAAATAAAGAATATTACCAGTGATTACTGAGCACCTTTAAAAAAATCATCTATATGAGACCGAATGGTCAACAGTTAAAGCAAAGAAGAAAGGGTAAGTGGACAGGGAAACCAGATTACTGGAAATGAAATATCCAGAATGGAATTAATGAGAATGTGGACACATTGTGAAAAGTGTAACCAATGTCACTGAACAACTTGTGCAGTAATTGTTAAGTGGGAACCTAACTTGCTGTGTAAACTTTCACGGAAAACACAATAAAATATTATTAAAAAAAAAAAAAAAAAAAAGGGCAGCAGTGAGGCTCAGGAGCCTGGAGAGTTGTTAAAACACAGACTTCCGGGCCTCACCCCGAGGTCCTGATTCAGCAGGTCTGGAGTGGGGCCTAATAATTTACCTTTCTAACAAGCTTCACGTGATGCTGAGGCTGCTGGTCCAAGGAACACACTTTGAGAATGAGTGTTCTAGCCATCACAGAATTGAAACAATCATCTGGAAACTACAAGTTCTCCAGCCTGCTGTCTTTGCCAGGCACCAAAAAGCAACAGATGAAGGTTATCATCGGTGGAAACGAGTTCCCCCAAGAGTTGAACCCATTAGATTTCCACCACCTAAGCAGTGCTACGTTTCTCTAGGAAGGTATGATTTTAAAACCTTAAATAGCAAAGCTTCATAGTCACCTTCTTGTTACTCAGACTCCTGGCAAATCATTACTGCTCATGAGCCCCTGAATGAAGAAGCTCCAATGGCTCTCAGCCACCATTCTCTATTAAGGTCAACAGAGACTGTTGAGACCATGGGTGGCCCCTGATGGCTGTCACTGTGGCTACTCATACGAGAGGAGTTATTCACAATATGAATGTACCATATCTATTTAACCATTCCCCTACTAATAGACATTAATGTTTCCCCCCTAATGTTTCACTGTTACACAAAATGTGGCAAAGAAGATACTGGAATATGTACTCTTACCTACTTACGTGGGTATTTCTGTAGAATAGCTTTTTAGAAAAAGAAATACTGAACTGGATCAAAGGCTATTACGTTCTTTATGTTATATAGTGCCTTCACTTCTTACATTCCAATTTTAAGTCTATGAAACAAACATTGTCCAAAAGTAAGCTCTGAAATAAATCAGTACTATACTAGTAATTCCACCAAACTCAGTCTGATATTTTACAAGCTCCTTATTTTATAGGGTATAAGATCCAAATAAAACCAGCAGAGTATCCTTTTTTTGCAGTTAATATGTTAATAGTGTCTATGAAGCACCATTTTCTGTAATACACAGAAGAAAAGAAAATGTTTTTAAAAAAAGAAAGAAAAAAAAAATCTGGCTTCTGGCCATATGCCAAAGTGTCTTTAAATTTTACCTGTTGAGAAGGTATGTGCTTCATCCCCATTGGCTTTTTCCCAATTCCTAAAACAAGATGCACAACCTCCTAATACATACCTTTGAGCCTCCTGTTCTACTCATTCTGACACTCCCTCTCCTAACCCTTTGGACCTCAGGGGTTGGCTCAGGCATAATTTCCTCAAATAAGCATCCCAGATATCTCCAGTCTAGGCCAGGGTTCTCGCTGAGTGCTTTCACGAAACCACACTCTCTTCCTCCAGACAACTTAATGTGTAATTACACACTCACTGGAGTGATGATATGATTAGCAACCATCTTCTCCACTAGCCTGTAAATTCCATAAGGTCAGGAACTGTGTCTGTTTTTATTACTATTTAACCCAGAGCATCTAGCTAAGTATCTGGCTTATGGTTAAAGGTCAACAAATATTTAAAGGAAGAGAGAGAAGGACTGACAGAGGGAGGGAAAACATGAATGAGAATGAAGGAATATGAATATATCACTTTCAAGAGACCTGGGTAAACAAACATTTTTTCTTACAACAGATGTGCAGTAGGGTATTCGAGTATTCAGTTCTTATGAAAAATGTAATAATAGTGTTAAAGGAAACATTAAAGTGAAAAATTCACCCTTATATTAACTACCCTAAGGCAAGTTATTTTTTTTTCTAGAGTGTTTTCTAATCTTTGTCCAAACTCATATTGTCATAAAGTATGATGACATTAAGAGACAAGAATTAGAAACAAAATTTTGTGTGAATTTCTTCCTAGAGAAACAGAGATATCATTTATAGAGAAATAAAGATAGAAATAAATATTATAACTTTCAAGGCTATTCAGTAGGAAACTAAATTGTAGGTACATGATTTGAACGTAACTGTATACTCATACTTTTGCATTTGGAGATGTATTACACACCTGCTTTTATAAGTTAGACGAACAGTTCTTGTACCTTCACATTTCCCAGGCTGCTGCTCTTTGGAAGCCTGTTCCCATTTAGAAATAATGTCACAAATCTAGAAGAGAAGTGGAAAATTGAGACTTATAGTACTCTTAAGATCAGCATTTTCTAAAAAAGACAAGTATGCCTGTAGATGGACTGAAAATGTGCAATTAATATGATCAAACCAAATATACTGACGTTTTTTGTTTTCAGCTTCTGTGCAGCTCTGAGTTTAGGATTTAACTATAAATTACTCTTCGGTCCACTTATACTTTTGGATACACATTAACTTTGGATGGTGGCCATGAATTTTTTACTCAAAAAGGAATCTTAATGCAGGACTGCCTGAGACTGCGAACAAGAAGATTCCAGGAATTTTTTCAGGATTTGGTCACTGAAAAGGCAACTTCACCTTCTGAGTTTATAAAGATTAGAAAAACTGAAGTTATCCCCAAGAAATCTGGAATATAATCTTAAGACTCTTTGATTGGGAAAGAATAAAACTTCTTTAGGAACCAAATTAGTATTTTTATACTGGTGATTTACAGAATTATATGTAGACATTTAAAAAAATATGTGGTGAGGCAGTTATTCACCAAAGTCCCTAATATTTACTCAGCTCAATTCAACCAAAACTACAAGCTTATCTTGTTGACTAAATATTAACAACAGTGATCTAGGGATGTCCATCTCAAAAATTGACATTAAGACATGTTGACCTGTACAGGATACTCCTGGAGCTGAGGAGAAAGGAGATTAATTTATCAAGATTTCTCAACACGTAGCTAAAGAAATAGGGGGGAAATACCATATCTACTAGCCAACATTCCTAATGAACTATCATCAGTTTTCAATAGCATTTTGTAGAACCCCAGTGAGCCCTGGCAGCTTGAACTGGGCCTCAGGAGTTAAAGTACTGATGTTTTATGTACTCTAACCTGTGAGCTATTATTTATGAATCTAGTTCTTCTACTCCTCTCAAATTCTTTACTGTTCAAATCATGGAAACACCTTCGCCCTGTAACAAGGCACTTATTCCCAAGAGCAATCCAGGACCATATCAAATAAGGAAATGGTCCAGACTCAGTTCTAGCTGTGTTACTGTGGCTAAATAATATCCCTCTCTGGACCTCAGTTTCTTCATTTGTAAAGTAAATGGACTGTTTCTCTATGGCCCCTTATCAGCTGCCGTCAAGTTGACTCTGACTTATGGCAACCCCATGCGTGTCAGAATAGAATTCTGCTCCACAGGGTTTCCAATAGCCGATTTTTCAGAAGTAGATTGCCAGGCCTTTCTTCCAAGGTGCCCCTGGGTAGACTTAACAGCCAATCTTTCGGTTAGCAGCTGAGCACGGTAACTACTTGCACCACCCAGGGACTCCCTAAATCTCCTTGTAGTTCCATAATTCTGTGTTTCTAATTGTGCCATCTTAGATCGAAACTACTGAAATTATTTTACTATGACCCAGAAAAGGAATGACATTTCAAAAAAAATTCTCCAATCTCCTATCTTTGCTGATGATTTCCTTATGTCTAGAATCCCTTCTTTATTTCTATAGATCCATTTTTTTCTAACCATTGTTCAGAGTTGAGTTCAGGTCTACCCTAATTCCCCATGCTGACCCTAATCTCTCCCTTTTAGGGTCTTTCGCTGCACTCGTAGAAGATTTATCACTTTCAATTCTATTTTAAGGTTATCAGTGTATAAGGCTTCTCTTCCCTAGGAGATTATAAGTTCACTATGGCAGGGACTATTTCTGATTCTTCCTTGTATTCCCTAGAAGGTTGAGGCCAGCCCCTGGGACACAGTAAACAGTTCAATAAATATCACTAAGTGAATAAATAAAATGGAAAACCATTCTCTTATAGCTTCCACACCTCCACTTTAGTATCCTAATACTTAGGGTATTATTTCAATTATTACTCCTCTTCCTCTCTTTAACATGGAGTATGTATGTATGCAGATTGTGTATTTAGAGCTTCTATGGTTTCAACAAAGCCTTGCAGTTGTTTGTTTTTTATTGTGAAGACTAGGTAGCTAAATTTTTTGGAAAATTTCTGAACTAACTAAATTCTTTCAAATAGCTAAGCTTCTTTGCTGTTTGCTGGATTTGTTTCCTTAAAAGGCCTTGGTTTTACCTTGATGTTTCCTTGAAGACAATGCTCTAAATCCCTGCCAGAGGGATCATCTGTGAACAAAGCAAATCCAGACAGTGCTGGCTTCCTCATTCCAGTGTCCTGGTTCAGAGTATTCAAAAATTCTTCCACTGTGGTGGATGCATCAAATCCAACTACCTAAACAGAAATAACAAGGCATTTCTTTTAATAAACAGTATGTAAGTTTCAAACTTATATTTCAGGGAAGAAACAGGCAAAGTTGATGCATGATTAATGACAACATATATATTTATCTAGGTGCTTTAACTTTGTTTTCAAAGCTCCACTGAAGAAAATTAACAATGTCACCTCAGTATTTTGCTTGATGCAAGAATTCAGAAAGTTCAGCTTCAGCCAACAGACATGAATTCAAATGAAAAAGATCACGTGACAGCTATAAACATCTGGCAGAGACATTGTGCCCACCCATGGAAAGAAAACCAAGAACTCTAGTACAATGTGTGATCTTTAAGCAAATGAAAGAAAACAAACAAGAAATACATTTAAATGAATGGACATTCTTAAACATTTAAGGTCTGTTTCTTTAATAGGCAGTTAAGTATCTGAATTCCATGGTAAAAGACTCATGGCTACAAAGACTAATTGCTAGCTTTGGAACATGTCTGCTTCAATTAATAAGCAAGCATCCAGTGTTGGGAGGGCTAGGGGAAGTTTTTCCAGATAATTCCTGAGATTGGGAGACTTTAAAAGAGACTAAAATTGTCCACACACAACATTAGTGATCATTTTCTCACCAAACAGGTGTACTGGTGGGGCAAAGGCTCAACCAAAGTGTTTTTGTTTTTCTCCAACTGAATTACAGTGAAGCCCCTCCCTTATTTGCTTCAATATGGATTTGGTTTTGGTGTGAATCCTTTTTAGCAAAACTGTTTCAAAACTCAGATGTTTTGATAGAAGATTTAACACCTGTGCATGTTTATCACTGCTGGCTACTGACAAAGGTAGGTAGATAGGCTCACTTCTCTATTCCACAGAGGACACACATAGGATTCTAGGCTACGCATGTTTTCATTAGTGTCTTGCTGTTGTCAGGTGCCATCAAGTCCATTCTGACTCATAGCCACCCCGTATGAACGGCCCCATAGGGTTTCCTAGGCTATAAACCTTACAGAAGCAGACTGCCATATCTTTCTTCTGCAGAGTGGCTGGTGGGTTCGAACCGCCAACCTTTCGGTTAGCAGCCGAACGCTTAACTGTTAGAAAGTCTAGCCTACCTGATATATTCCATTCATGAAGTGCACTGGGATACTGAAGGGCAAAGAATGGTGATAAGGATTTCGAAGAAGGGTTGAAAGAATTTCCATTCTTGAGGGTCTTGCCTCTCGATCTCCATTTTGTTGCGTTCTTTCTACACATCGCTGGCAGTAAATGGCATATTTTCCAAATTCTGTCCTATAATACAAAACTTAGGTTAAAACCTAACAATAACTTTAATTAAGATAACCTAACATATATAAATCATTAAGAAAGCTTTCCTTGATATACATTATTACACATTTATTATGCTAATTTTGACAGTAATTTTTCTTTTTCAAACTGCCATAACTTTTCTCATATTCCAGTTTCTTTACTACTGCAACCAACTCAATCAAACTTCACCATCAAAGCAATTTTCATCTTTATTGTATTATTTTCATCAAAAATTGAATGTAAAATTACCAATCATTTAAAACATACAGAAATAGTAATTGTTAATAAATATAGAGATAATAATTATATAAATAATAATATAGGGTCACATAAGAAATCCATGATGGCAGCTGAGTTCACTTTTGAAGAATATAGAGGATAGTGCTTGACTGCTAGGGGAGGTGAGAAAATATCTTCAAATAAAAATAATACATTTTCCTTCTTTACCCTATAAAATATTCACTTCTTGAAAAACAGTAAGCATTAAACAAAACTGCCCCAGGAAATCAATGTAAAAGTTGGACAGAGATCTGATTTGCTCTCATTTGATATATAACTTTTATCCTGTTTATAAAAGCAGCTTGACAACACCTCTATATATATCTGTATTCAAATGACACCCTTTGTCTGCGGCTCCTCAGTGACTGAACTGAAATCACGTGGCCTTGATCACAGAGTCCCCAAAATACATCATGAACTGGAGGATATTTTTCTACTGCTTCCAAGCTGTTTGTCTGCTTGCTTCATTGTGTTTGTTTTAGTTCTGGAGTCTATTTAAGCAACCTTATGTGCACCTCTTGATGGACCAAAACAAAAAAAGACCAAACCCACGGCCATTGAGTCGATTCTGACTCACAGTGACCCTACAAGACAGAGTAGAACTGCCCCATAGGGTTTCCAAGGAGCAGCTGGTGGATTCAAACTGCTGACCTTTTGGTTAGCAGCCGAGCTCTT